GGGCTGGTGTCCAGCCGATGCTGTGGCCAAGCAGAGCCTGCAGAGCTGCGCAGCAGTGCCCGTGCTCTCCCGACAGGATCCGCGCTGCGCTAGGAGCAGGCGGACGCGTGCCGTGACCGGCTCCTCCGTTAGCGCCTCAGAAGCCAGTGGTGCCTCTCGCTCTATTAATTGCCATTAACGTCACTTCTTCTCCCATCGAAATGAAGTGAGGTGGACGCGAGAGAATGAAGCGCCCTGTGCGCCTGGGTGGCCCTGGCACCGCTCACACGGGCTGGACACGCAGGACAGGCCCTGATCCTGGTTGTCTCCTTGTCCTTTTGCTCACAGTTTTTATCCCGGGGAATCTCCGTTGTTTCCATTTGTATTCCTTACCCTGCCCAAGAGCAGTGGTGTCGGTAGTGGGAGGCCGGCACCACACGAGAGAATGAAGCGCCCTGTGCGCCTGGGTGGCCCTGGCACCGCTCACACGGGCTGGACACGCAGGACAGGCCCTGATCCTGGTTGTCTCCTTGTCCTTTTGCTCACAGTTTTTATCCCGGGGAATCTCCGTTGTTTCCATTTGTTTTCCTTACCCTGCCCAAGAGCAGTGGTGTCGGTAGTGGGAGGCCGGCGCCACAGGCAGCGCCGAGCCCGGCCGGGCCGGGAGGGAGCCCTGGGCTCACCACTAACCACAGTGAGAAACCACCAAGAGGCCGGGTTTATATCCAGAGCTACTGAGGAGCTCTTAATGAGACCGACGGAAGGAAAAGCACCAAGAAGGGCCTGATGACAGGTCAGGAACACCCCAAGTGAATACGAAGGACAAGTTGCAAGTACGGCCCAGCCCGTGCGCGGTTTGTGCAACATTCCCTTCGCCGTGACCCCCACGGCAGCTCTGCAGGGGCTGCAGCTCCCCTCATGGCACCCGCAGCCTCCAAGGGACACAAATTCTGGGCTCCTTGGCCACCCTGCAGCCACCCGCGGTGCCTGGGAGCGCGGGGGCCTCCTCTCCTCCAGGCCTTGCAGAGCAAATCCCGAGCCCCGCGCTCAGGCTGCGGGTCGGGATCAGCTGTGATTCCCATCGCTCCAGTTCAGCCTGGGACGTTTCCTTCCTGGGCTCCTGGCCCAGGTTCTCCTACAGCTGTCCTAGCAGGGTGAGTGCGTTTCCACCTTACACCATGATGATGCATGTAAAGGGAGGTGGGGGGGAGGTCTTAAAAAGCAGATACCTTAACTGCACTGCTGAAAGGGTGAAACAGGCTTTGGAGGGAGCGAGGATGGAGCCTTTTGTGCTCCTCATTTGCCCGTATGACAGGTATCTTCCTGAGATGGTTCCTGGTGCCTAATTGGATGAACTGAGCTTTATAAACAGTTCCCTTC